GCCACCAAGAAGAGTTGAAACTCAGGAGAAGGCTCTTAAAAAAAGCGATAATTGTCAGCAAGAACTGTTTCCACAAACTGATTAATGAGATTAATGAGGACCCATGGGGGATGGCGTATAAGCTGGTAATGAAGAAATTAAAGTATTCTGAGCAACCAAGCTGTGCAGAATTTGTGGAAGAAATAATTGGCACACTGTTCCCACAGAAAGCCATGTTCGTGTATGTGCCACTGAGCGAGGAGAGTGACAACATTAAACTCACCGGGCCTGAGGAGATTGCTGCCATTGCAAAAGAAATAAAAGTCAAGAAAGCGCCGGGCCCTGATGGTATCCTTAATTGCGCTATTAAGCAAGCTTTGTTGGCAAGGCCCGATATGTCTGCGAGCACATTCATTGCTTGTTTGAAAGAACAAATTTTCCCAGATAAGTGGAAAAAAAAACGCTGATGTTGCTGCCAAAGCCAAATAAGCCGTCGCAAGTTGCAATTGCATACCGCCCTATTTGTCTATTGGATACGAAAGGCAAGGTGTACGAAAAGATCATTCGAAATCGTTTAGAAGCATCTCTGGAGATATCTAAAGGGCTGTCGGACTTCCAATACGGCTTCAGGAAGTAGAAAAGCCCAATGGATGCAATAAAGATGGTCACAAATACCGCAGCAGAAGCGATTAAAGGTACACGTTGGATGGAAGGCAATAAAAAGTATTGCTTAGTAATAGCATTAGACATTAAGAATGCATTTAACTCAGCAAACTGGTATTGCGTCATAGCTGCCCTACAGGAAAGAAGAGTCCCACCGTATCTGATAAATATAGTGGCTAGTTATTTTACTGGCAGGAAACTGAGATATGTTACAGATAAAAGGTGCAGAGAGAGGCTGATCACTGGAGGGGTACCTCAGGAATCAGTCCTAGGCTCTACACTGTGGAACATAATGTACGATGATATTCTGAGACTATCTCTCCCAGAGGGAGCATCCATCGTGGGTTTTGCTGACGACATAGCGATAACTATCGTGGCGAAAACTCTGGAGGGTATTACCATACAGCGAATAAAACCACCGACATGATCAAGAGGTGGCTGCGGTCAGTGGATTTAGAGTTGGCGGATGAGAAAACAGAAGCGGTATTAATCTCTTCTAGAAAGAAAATGGAGAAAGTGACTATCCGGGTGGGAGATACGAGAATATAGTCTCAAGAAGCCATAAAATACCTAGGAGTGACGATAGACTGCAGACTTTCATTTAAACGGCATCTGCAATACACGGGCAAAAAGGCAGCGAAGGTAGCAAAGTCGCTGGCGCGCTTACTGCCAGACTTACGAGGCCGTAGGCAGGACCATAGAAAGCTGATCGCAGAAGTGGTAATTGCGACAATTGATTATGGCTCTTCGGTTGGAAAAAGGCCTTTGCTATACCGTCATGCACGGGAGACATCGAATCACCAAATAGACTATGCGCTCTAAGGGTGTGCGCCACGTATCGGACGGAGTCGGGGGGTGCGACCCTGGTTATCGCTGACATGACGCCAATCGAACTGTGTGCTAAAGAAGATCTGTATAGAGCCGAATTTCACAGACTGTCGGGTGAAGCGGCTAATCAGCCAGCAAATCAGCGACTGGTGAAAGAGTGGCAGGAGCGCTGGAGCAGAGCGGGTAAGGGTAAGTGGACGCGCCGACTCATACCAGATTTACGGTTCTGGGTGAATAGGCAACATGGTGAGGTTGACTTTTATTTGACACAGGTAATCAGCGGCCATGGTTGCTTTACGTCATATTTGAATAGGTTTGAAATAGAGCAGGACCCATTCTGTAGTCTTTGTAAGTGCATCGAAAACGCTCAATATGTTTTCTTTGTCTGTCCGAAATATTATAACGAACGACAGAGACTACAGACGGAAATTGGAGTGTTACCTTTCCCCGAAAATCGCTTGACAAATATGCTGCACGACCTGAAAATATGGAAGGCGGTGGGAATCTTTGCCGCAAATATTATGCGAAAACAAAGACACGAAGAGCGTCAACGTAGGCTTTTAAGTAGTGACTAAACGGCTATCCTCCCTGTGAAGCTATACCTAAACGGTCGTGCCACAGGGTAGGGAATAGGAGGGCCGGTTTTTAGCGGGTTAAAGTCTCGCACTGCCCTAATGGGCGCCTGCTGACGGTTTTGCAGCTCACAAAGAAAAGAAAAAAAAACATACCTTTACAAGGCTGGGCTCAGGCTACTGTGGAGACCACAGGTGGCGGATCGTGATCGGCATGCATGTACCCAAGGGTATATCAGTAGGCTAGCTGCGAATAACCAATAAGCAGTCCCCGACCAAGAGGGAAGGGGCGGTTGAAAAGGCCGCATAACCCTGCAAATCTTCGGCGACAGGACGAATAAGCTCCGTCCTTTGAATAGGTGCTTTTAACTCTTGGTATGAGGGTGGCACGTAGGGAGACAGTTCTACGAAGCCTATGGATAAGCAGCAAGACCGAGTTCGGTAAGGTCTTGATTATGGCATACCGGAACACCTACTTGAATTGACGATTTCGAGCTGGTGGTGGCAGTATTCCGTTACCTTAAAATTATGGGAAGTCTGGGAAGTACATTCCAGGGTGCACCGTTAAGTTGGTGGGCGTAGGCCAAGTTGAGAAGAACTCCTGGTACAACGCTGGATCTGGCATTGACCGGTAGTCTCATAAGGGCTAGTGTCAACCCACTGTATGGCCTTATTGCTTGCAAAGATTACCATGGGGTTCTAACAGCAACTACACCAGCGGAACCAGGTAGCGGCTTCCCAGTTGGGGTCCATATAAAATAAAACATGAATAACACAAATAAACCCAAAGTAGCAACGCCGATGTCTGCCGGTACGACAAAAAAAGCAGACAGTGGCGTTCACGCCAGTGATCTGAGCGACGAGAACCCGTTTAGGGCGAGTAGCAGAATGCTACGATCGCCGGTTGGCGGCCGAGCATAGCCACAGTCGCCTACCAATTTAAAGAGAGTGCCTACGACAGATGCGGGGGACACGGAGCCCTTTGTAAGGCTGGGCCACCACATAGAGGCATTGGTGGAAATGGTGGAGGACGGCAAAAGCCAGTCCATTTATCAAGCCATGAGAGATGCCATTGACAAGGTCGATAAAGCCGCTCAAATGAACACTTGCCCTAGCCTAAGAGGGGTGAACAAGATAGATGCTCCGGAGGCCAATCCGAAGACGAGTGCCGCAAAAAGAAGACAGCCGTGTGATATAGACGCACCAACTGTCAAGCGTCGTAACGTGGCCAGTACGTCCAAGGGAGCCCCGCGGAAGCCCGACCAAAGTACACGGGCTACCAGCAAGGACCAGCAACAAGGTACGGCCAGGAAGAAGAAGGACCGCAAACTGCAAACTCATAGAACAAAGCCCGACGCAGTCGTTATAGTTGCGACCGACAAGCTCTCCTACACTGAAATGCTGCGCAAAGTTAAAGGCGAACCCAAACTAAAACAGCTAGACGAAGTGGTCCACAAAATCAGAAGAACACAGAAAGGCGACCGACTGCTGCAGCTGAACAAAAACGGAGAAAAAATGGAAGTGCTGAATTTTGTAAGCTCCCTACTAGGTGATCAGGCGGCAGTTAGAAGCCTGAAAGAACGCGGTACAGTCGAGTCCAGAGACATAGACGAGATCACCTCTAAGGAGGATATATGCGAAGCCATAAAGAACCAATTTGGGCTGGCAAACGAAGAAGTGGTCAGCCTGCAAATGGCAATTATCAGCCTGCTGCAAGAAGAAGCCAACAAGCTACTCACTGGTGGCAAACTAAGGGTAGGCTGGGTGGTGTGCCGACTAAGGGAGCATAGAACATTGGTGAAATGAAACCGCAGCCTGCAATTCGGGCATATTGCCAAACAATGTAAAGGGAGATGCGACCGATCAAACATCTGCCGACGATGCGGAAACGATGGGCACATCGCAATAGTGTGCTGCAATGATCCCCTGTGTTTTCCATGTAAAGACACACCAAATGCGAACGCTAAACATGTAGCGGGGAGCAGTAAGTGCCCGTTATTCAAACGTGCTTTAGCTGCTAGAGGACGCAAACGAGAATAATGCAAAATAATCTCAATCACGGCGAGGCAGCTCATGATTTGCTCAGACAAACGGTCAAAGAAGAGAAGGTAGACCTGGTGTTGATCAGCGAGCCATTAAGAAGAATGAACCGTGGCGGATGGATTGCCGATGCAGCAGGGAAAGCAGCAATCTGGTCACCGGATTTTGCACTCCTGAATGAAAGCGCCCAGCACAACGGCTACGCGAGGGCGAGAGCTCGGGACATAAATTGCTACAGTTGCTATGCACCCCCAAGTTGGATGCAGGAAGAGTTCCTGTACATGTTGGATGATCTAGTGGCGGATGCTCGCAACAAACCACTGGTCATATTCGCGGGGGACTTTAACGCCTGGGCGGTGGAATGGGATAGTAGAAATCCAATGCCACTGGTCGTGCCCTTGTGGAAGCTTTTGCAATGCTACCACTGACGTTAAGGAACGATGGGCGAAAACATACGTTCAGGAAGGCGGGCTTTGGATCAATGATCGACATCAAGTTCGTGAGCGATAGCCTGGTGCTAAAGTGTAGGTGGACGCTCAGTGAAGGCTACTCAGGCAGCGACCAAGCTATCTTTATAGAGATCGAGACCCGGCGAGGCAGAGGAAACAGAGGTCTGACGCACAGGGATCCGAAGTGGAACGACACGTCGTTCTACGAGGAAATCGTCAGGCTGTCTCTCTTCTCCCGCGCGATAAAAGGTGATACAACGGAGCACCTCGTACGCGAAGTGTATACCGTTATAATAGAAGCATGGGACGCATCAATGTCTGGAGAAAGAATGTGCAAAAAAGACGTCCCGCACCATTGGTGAAACGCGGAAATAAGTTCGGCCAGGAAGGAGTCCCTTAAAGCCAGAAGATTGGTCCGGCGATTTAGGAAAAGCCAGAACTTTGACAGTCGGTTGCACGGTGACCTAAAGAAAGCCATTAGGCGCAGCAAGAGAAGCTGTTTCGAGGCTCTCTGCAGGGAAGCAGACATCAACCCGTGGGGAACAGCTTACATAGTGGTTGGGTATAGATGGAAAGGTGGCGCCAAGAAATATTGTGCCTTGATTCCGTTGGATGTTAAAAACGCTCTTACAAGAGCACAGGTCCCAAGGTATGGATTAAATACCATAACGAGCTGCCTGTCGAGCCGTACGTTCGTGTATGAAAGCGACAACGGCACAGAATTTTATAAAATATCAGCAGTCCTACAAGGATCAGTTCTTGGCCCTCTCTTGTGGAACATCATGTAAGACGACCGCCTGAAAGTGCAGCTGCCCGCCAGCACAACAAGTATTGGATTCACCGACGACGTAGCGATAGTGGTGGTGGGAAAGCAAATTTGCAGACATCGAAGCGAAAGCTACCGAGGCAATCGTGCGTATCAAGGAGTGGTTAAACAAGGTGGGCCTGGAGCTGGCTGAACACAAAACGGAAGTTGTGCTTGTGAGTAGCCGGAAGAAGCCAGAGACGTGCAGGATAAGAATCGTGGATCACATAGTACAATCAGTCCCCGCGCTCATATATCTCGGAGTCACAATTGACTACTGCCTCAACTTCAGGCGGCATATTGATTATGTGGCGTCTGGATGACGGCACTGGCAAGGATTATGCCAAATGTGGGCTGTGGGTGGCTTAAAACAGCAAAGAGGAAGATCATAGCAACGGTAGTGACCTCAGTCATTATGTATGCGAGCCCAGTATGGACGGGTGCACTGACTGTAAAGACGGCACTCCGAAAGTTGGCGCCGATATATCACTTTAGCGCCCTGGGACAGATTTGCACATTCCGTACCGGGTCGGAGGAAGCAGCACTAGTGATAGCTGACACTCTGCCAGTTGACATTCTGGCCGACGAGATGAGCCGCATGTACGAGCGGCGTCGCGGCAACGAACTCTCCTCACGCATTATAACAAGCGAGGAACGGATGGCCTCGTTGAGGATATTGTAGTCGAGGAGGGAAAGAACGACCAAAGGAAGATAGACGTTCATTCTTATTCTTAGCATAAGGGTTGGAAGACGCCATGGCGAGATAGACTATTAGCTCATCCAGCTTCTGACTGGCCATGGCTGCTTCCGAAAGTACCTGCACAGATTTGGGCACGACTGCTCGCCTAACTGACCGATATGCGCGGATACGGAGAAGGACGCAGAGCACGTAATGTTCTACTGCTGCAGATTTGTGAACGGGCGGTCTCAAGTGCCACCCAACGAGATGACGAGCGTGGTGATCGGTAGTGCAGCAGCTTTGAACGCGCTAGACGCGTTCACTGTAGCAATACCCTCGTTGAGTAACGACGACTAGAGAGACAACGGGAGGAAAGCAGAGGGAGTGGAAGCCAATAGGATATTCCAATGAGGTCCTACCATTGGAAGTGTGGTAACGAGAACCAGCCTACGCGAAGTAATACCTAACGGTTATCCCGCGGGGGAGAGTGGTAGAAGAAGCGTGTGGGCGGGGGGGTAGTATTTAGTACGTGGAAATCGTGCATACTGCTACTAAGGAAGCAACAGTATCTTTTGAAGACTTTGTACCTCCTGCTCGCATAGCAAAAAAAAAAAACATACACATACACACAAACACACAGCAGACATGCACTCACGCATACACAGGCACGCATGTCTTTATTGCCTTGACGAGAGGCTTTTTATGTTATTTACGTAAATTTATAAAAATAAAAATAATAAAAAACATTTTTTATGACTTTTTTTTAAAAGTCACCTGTGTATAGTTAGTTTCCGTTTGTTAAGCCGTTTCACTTGATCGTTTCGCTACACTTGTATGTCAATTAATTTACCATCATTACTGATAACCGTGAGGAGAGTTTGCGACAATTCTTTACGGGCCTTATGCACGACCCAACACATTAAAGCTACTCTGCAAATCACCTGCAATAAAAAGAAATGCAATAAATGTTTGGAACTTCAAATAAAATATTTTTCTGAGAGGAAATCTGTAATTATCTCCCTGTCAAGCATTATAAAACAAGTGAAAGTCTGTAGTGAGACACGGCCTACCATTAAATAATCTACTTCACTACTACTGTTATTCATATGAAAACTTTATATGTGGGAAATGGTCGAACAATCTGAGTCAGTGTACCCAATTTCTTCAGAATAACTCAAAAAAAATGCAGTCTGTAAGCTGAACATAAGAAGGTAAGGCGAACAAACAAGTTTAAATGATTTTAGAAGGTGATTCTAAATCAGTTGGTATAACAAAAAATAAATCTATTTGAAGCTCTTCTGCGTATTGCATACATCTGCACAAAGCTTAATATGTCTTTGCAAAGTTGAGCATAAGAAAATCGAGTTAAAAAGTAAAAAATTTAACTTTAGTTCGCTTACTTTGCAATCATCTCCGCTAACACAACTTTCTTTCTCACAAAATATCCAAATATCAACTTTTGTCTAAGTGGAAATGCAATAATATACATATATGATTCCATATCATCCAATGTTTTCGCATTCATTTACTTTTTATCACTTTCTCTCGAGACATAGTAACTTTTAAAAGGTAAAAATGGCCTAGTGTAATACGTTTTCAATACAATTCATTTCTGAACTAAAACATATGGACGTACCACATTTCATTCCGTCGGTCTGTCTATATAATTAATATAAAAATCGTAGTTTACGGCGTCTGTTGATGGGGAATGTTAGAGAAGCGTTCGATTGATCGTATCACTAACAAAAATAGTATTTAATTTTTTTTCTTAATCCCGACGTGTATTGACAGACAGACCGGTGTAACACGTCGAGATGCTGCGAAAAACGAATTTAGTTACCGGCGCGTGCTGTCCGGTTCATTCGAGGGATTTTTTCGAGAAAATTTATATTTCCTGATTTTCCATTATCAACCAAACTTACCTACATGCACCTAAAAAAGCCCCTTACTTGCAATCACTGAGATTAAGGTAGTTCATTAATTCATTCATTCATTAACTTTCACTTTTACTACTCTGTCGGGCACTTATCTTACACGAACACTTTGGGACATAATTCGTTAGATAAGTTCACAATACTTATTTCTATCATTTGTCTCGTAAGGATAATTTAGGCCTTAATCATTTCCATTTTACTCTTAATTCCTTAATAGCTAGACATTCAAATTTCAGCGATATTAACACTCACTAAAGACAAACTGTTGAGTAATGTTAACACTCTGACCGTTCGCTAAACGATTCTTGAGCGATGTTGATGCTCTAAGGGATCAAACTAAAAGGCGAAGACTTCCTTTCCTCCTTACCTCCGTTTTCTGTGAAAATTGTAATTCGAACTTAAAGGGTGTGAAGTTATATTAAAATATAACTAGCAAAGACCCAAACTAAAATTTTTTACAGAGCTCTATAAAGCCCTTAACCGAATTCTGGTAAACGTCTGAAGTCTCGGAGGGATTTAACTCAAAATACAAGTAAAATAGAACTTTTCGAGAATTTTTTTGCAAATTATTATAAACAAAACATGACTTTATGTAAATTAACTAATATTCGAAACCAAAACTTTTTTACACTATGCCATAAATGAGGTTGATAAAGCGAAAGTTTGCGGATCAACTGTGGCCAAACCATGTCCCTTGAAAAAATTAAACTAGTACAAAGTGAATCCTCTATTAATGGCCTTTCCATCGGTGTGCAGGTTATATTAAGTTTTGCCCCAAGAATTTTTTTATGGGACTTTGAAAATTTCCATCAGGCTATTATGAAAGTAAAATAAAAGTATCATGAGAGTAATTTCCGAGCATCTTTTTATGGGACTTTGAAAATTGCTTTTCATAACATAGGCAGCTTGAGAAACAATGTTCATCCACCATCAAAGTCGAGAATTTCGAAATGGTTCTCTCTCATTGCTCAGTGCATTGTACTCTTGCGTTAATTTGTGCGTAAACGAATGTAAACAGGGATTTATTGCCTTTGCAAAAATTAAATAGTTTTTTTTCTTCTATGCATGCTGACCTAGTATTTTTTTTAAGAAATTGAGTGAGAGAGATCGAAACAGAAAATGCGTAAATAAGGAAGGTTTTGATGCGTCTAAAACAGAAAAATCAGATATGGATTTTTATTTATAATTTTTATCAATTATGAGATACACATGGTTTTGTATATAAATTAGATTTGTTTTCGGGCTTGCGTTAAAAATTGAAATTAGGAAATTACATCGTTTACAGCGTTTTCTACTAATTTATATACAATATTATAAACGCTGTCAATAAAATTTATAATCATAAACCAAACGGGTGTAACCACAAAACGCTGCCGACGTTATAACAATCTCTGAGAAATATTAACAACATTAATAATGTGATCTGTTGGCAGCGGTCGAAGTGAGCGGCGGCCAGGCTGACAAACATTACAGAGACGAACGAATGTCCGTTCGTTTGATTTTGCTTGCTATTATAATACATATATTTTAGGAACAGTAACCACAAACAATAAACAGCAGTATGTTATTATATATGTTTTTTTTCTCTTTGCCTTTTTTTTTTATATTTTTGTCTCCAAATTATGAAGAGAATAAAATATCTATAGAAAAAGGGAGACGTATAATAACTATGATTGCCGTTGCTGACATTATTGTCTTTTTCCATAAATAAGAGCAAAAGTATAGATCTTATTAATAATCCTCACAAGCTAATAATAAACAGTCGGTAGACATACTTTATGCTATCAAGTGTATTTAAAGCCGATCAAATATATGTATCTAAAATCTATATATGAATATATACATACACTAAACTGATTTTGTTTTGTTCTTTTACTACTTGCCGCTGTACAATGTTCACAATAAATTTGCGAGTTTGAAAATGTTTCTCTCTCATTGCTCATTGCATTACATACATGCGTGGGTTTGTGCGTAAACGAACGTACACAAAAGGATTTATTGCTCTTGCAAATATTAAATAGTTTTTGTTCTTCTAGCACGTATGTTGATCTAAAATTTTTTTTAAGGAATTGGGAGAGAGAGAGTGGGCGAAACAGAGAATGCGTAAATAACGAACATTTAGAAAAGCGGCATTGAAAAATACACGCGGTATATAAATGAAATTTGCGTATGCATTTGCGTGAAAAATAAAAATTAGCATATTACATCGTTTGCTTCATTTTTTACTATAACAATTTTCATTTTCAGTACAACTACTATGCACAATATTTTAAGCGCTGTCAATGAAAATAATTGTAAGGGATGTAATAATTGCGTTGCAATCATAGTTGCCTTTTTCCAAAAATTAGATCGAAAATATAAATGTTGCTAGAAAACCAGACATGTAATATATAATAAATAGTCGCCAGGCATATTTTATTTTATCAAGTCCCTTTAAAATCCATCAAATGTTTGTGCCTAAATAATTTATATATATATATATATGTATACATATATATAGATACATATATATTCATACATATACATTACGAGAAGTAAACTTAACTGATTTTTTTTTACCACTTGCTGCTGTACACTTCTCATAATCAATATTGAGACTTCAGAAATGTTTCTCTCGCAATGCGTGGATCTGTGCGTAAACGAATGTAAACAGGCATTTATTACCTTTGCAAATACTAAATCGTCTTTTTTTTTCTTCTATCTATGTTGCACTTGATAACGTAAAGCATGGTTGCCGAAAAACAAATTTTTTGGTAGTTTCATTTCTTTCTAATTATTCTTTGCGTATTTGCATATATTTTGGATATGGATATATAACTATAGATAATAATGTATATTAAATAGCCAACATATACTTTGCTTGTTATATAACATTAAGAAATGAGTGAGAGAGGGAGAGAAAGAGCGTACATACGCTGTAGAGTTTGTGAAAACATAACAATGTGGAGGAGATAAAACTTTCCTTAAAAAAGAAAATTAGACAAAATTTTGTATTTTTTAAGAAAATTATTTTTTATTAATATTTTAATATTATTCCCTCTTATTAAAAAATTAAACCCGTTTGACGAATTTCAATTTTATTTGCACTATTTATGAATTTCGTTTGTAATATTTATATAAAATTATCTACAGTACTTACATAAATCTACAAAATGATTATTATTTATATTATTTATAAAGCTCTTAACCAAGAGTGTATTGTTTTATAACAAATCTTTTTTATTATAAATGACATGATAAAAAAACACTATAAATACAAATAAAAAAAATATTGATGCATATCGTTCACATAAGTAGTTTTAGGAAATAGATGCTTTTAAAAGAAAAACACTTTCTCAAGTGTTATTTTTTAAAAGCATTCTAATAAATTTTATTCAAAAGTACAAAATTGTGACTTATGGATATAACGATCGTTTAGAGAATTTCAACTTTATTTCAGATATTCAGGAGGATTTTATTTATATTGTTAATAACAGTTTAATGCAGTTTATTTGCACATTCGCATATTCGGTTTGTATTGAAGTATGTGACCCTTACAAGCTGTCTACGTTTTATATTTACATTAATTAATTTATTTACATTAATCTATATTGTTACTATATAATATATATTATTATTAAATATTATTATGTATATTAGCATATGATATATATTAAGTATGTAAGAAATATAACAAATCCTTTTTATTATAAAAGATATATTAAGAAAAAAGTTTAAATACAAATAAAAAACTATAAAAAAAAAATACAAAATACAAAAATATCATGAAGGTAAGTAAATGAATAATGAAAGGACGTTTTAATTAATTGTTGTATAAAATGCAAAAATCATTCCATTCCTCGTAGTGATGTACGACACATTGTACGCAAACAGTTCGATAACATTTGCTACACTGTTTTTCTATTTCATTAATTTTATAACAGTGAAGACAGAGTCAGTCATAAGTCAGATCCTCACTATATTGTAAAATGTTTAGCTTCATCCGTTTTCTATAATCAGACGGACGTGTTAAGTGTACTAAGGGTTCCTTTTTTGCAATTCTTTCCAAAAACTGGCAAACGAATACACCGCAATTCGTATTATCTTTGTTTATATATTGCAAATCATGCACTTTTCGCAGTCCATACATCACTATTATTGTGTATGGCTGTAAACTTTTGGAATAATTGTGATAGAGTTGCTTCTTCGTTTCCAATGGGATCAACGTAAGTGAACGTAAGTGTTGGAAGCGTTATTTATATAGGCGAACGTGAAATGCCTATTGTGAAGAATGGGCACGATAATTACTTTGTAATGAAACAACACTTGCTTTAACTTTTCAGTGATATGAATACTATCTCTGAAAAATAGCAAATCTCCTTCTTGGTAACTCAAACAGTATATATTATTGATTTGATGTTCGTATATAACAATGTGTATGTATAACTCCAATACATTGTTATATAGTTCTTGTTTATTTTCTAAACATAACAAATCACTTAATTCCATGGACATTAAAAAGGGTGTAGTACTATGGGAGTATATTTTCTCAAAGATATAATGATATTTCCCTTAAATTATTTTTTTGGATTTTACGGACCTAGTTATTTTAGAGAAGCAATCATCTGTCACATACCGTTTGAAAAGTTTCTGCGATAACATAATTTGTGCATGTTTTGTATTTTTGTGCTTCTTGGGAGTATGCCTCCACTTTTCTTCAACTAGTACATCTTTATTTTTCGTTTATGTTCCGTAATAAACTTTTCTTTCAACATATTGGGACTTTATTTCCTGTCTTTTCGCTGTTATGTACTTGTACGATTCCCTCACGTACTCGGTGGGTCTTATGTTTTTTTGACCATCTAAGTTTATGTTTTTACCAATGGAAAAATAACCTTCCACTGGACTATTTGAAGCGGGCTTGTCACTGTCTATATGTACACCCATTATATTGGTCCATAAGGGAGCGTAAGCTATATATTTTTTTAGTAGCAAATCTACGAATTTTGGGTTATAAAACCGGTTGGTTTTAATTTTTCTGAATCGACTATCATCTATTTTGCTTTTTATATGGGTGTACATTATCCTTCCTTTCTTATAAAAATGACTATTGCAAAATAGTGATTGTTTCACTTCGAAATTTTTACAAGTGCTTTTATTGATGTTATCATTATAAGATTTGTCTATATCTTCATCATAGTCCAACTGAAGGTTTTTTCGCAAAAAACTTAGATGGCGTTCTGTTATCTTATTTTCGAATTTACTGGAGAGTATCGGTAAAAAGTTCCCAATCCATCGAAAAAATTGTTTTATTCCGGAACAATGCATTGCGGTTAGCTTTTGCCATTTTATAAAATTATCTACGGACTGATCAAAGAAGTTTTCTACATCTTTGTGCACCAATTTTATGGTATGATTTTTACACAACTGTATTACAACGAAGGGCGGATATTGTTTACAAGTCCTTAAATGAGTGTAGCAAGCGTTAACGTATGTTGTTATGTTATTCATATTACAAAATACGGGTAGAATTGGATTTATGGCAGCCAAACTGCAGTCACTTATGATTCGTCGACAAATAGGCCAACGTATTTTATTTTGTAAGCAAAAAGTTTTTACGGACAATAAAAGTCTTAAAATATCACTGGACCAATGGCTGCTCAAAAACGATTCGTATAAAGGAAACAAAATTCCTGTTTCATTGCTTTATATGATGAATACATAAATATTCTTTTCGAATTCGATTCAATTTTTTTTATTATGTTGCCTGTGGCATCAATAAAAAGAGTGTGCGGCTTTAATTGTTCAACAAGTTTGAACTGGTTAAGGGAATATAAATAAATTTCTAAGGGGAAATATATTTTCTGAATGTATTCCGACCAATTTTTGTCTTGCCGCATTAAATAGAGGTCTATCAAAGAATCGGTATGCCTGCTGTTTTCGCTTTTGGCTTCCGATCTTATTTTGCGTATAACTTGGTCAGATGGGACTGCGAAATTTCCGACTAGTCTTGTTCCTTTATTTTGTTTGGCCAAGTTAATATTCCTCCACTTAGCTGCCTTTTGCGTTTTTAATTCAATTTTTGTAATGTTTCTTTGCATACCGCGGACTTGGGGAATTTTATATACAGATTTCGGATGTATAATATTTTCAACGTTGGAAAATACGTTGAATTGATGCATCCATTGTAGTGGTATATTCATTTAGCATAAAAACATAACTTGGTACGTCTACAATTCCAATTATGGCTGGTATAAACAATTTTACAGACATTATTAACGGTTGCAAATTTTTGTCTTATCAAATCCTTAACATATCGCAAAAATTCACTATTCATCGAATAGCCACCCTCGTGTAAAAAATTGTCTTGAATGAAAAGAATTTCATGTTTTGAAAACTCTACCGTACCTTCATGATACTTAAAACCAGTTTTAGCTGGCGGTGAGCTTGAGGTTCCTAAGGCTACTTTCTTATTAAGTAGTTTTGGAATATTAAATTTATTACAAATGACCCTATACTCCTGTAATTTTGTAGATTCATTTTTCGTACAATTTATTTCTAATTCTTCAGAGTTTTTAGTGGACGTAAACTTACAGTTGTCCACCTGTGAAATGCTTAGTTCAGCATTTTCTGTCTCCACATCTGCCGTACTATTCCCGTAGGCAACTTGACCTTCGTTTACAATTTCACCGCTTGCTATAGAAATTGTTGCGTCGCAATTATCTGACAAATGAATACTTCGGTAAGTTTCTATTTCTTCTTTAAGAGGAACTATGGATGCCTCATTTGCGCTGTTCAAGTTGGAAAATAACTCAGTTGATCAAAATTGAAGTAATTTCTTCCGGTTGTTTCCCACGGAAGCCCATTTTTTAGTCATTTCCTCCGTACATTTTTTTAATGTCATGGAATCACTTTCCTAAATAACAATAGCAATACAATGGTATGGTTTCACCACAGTGGTCTTTTAAAGTTTGCTTATATGTTAGCCTATACTATGTTAAGTATGGAAATTTTCAAAGTCCCATAAAAAAATTCTTGGGGCAAAACTTAATATAACCTGCACACCGATGGAAAGGCCATTAATAGAGGATTCACTTTGTACTAGTTTAATTTTTTCAAGGGACATGGTTTGGCCACAGTTGATCCGCAAACTTTCGCTTTATCAACCTCATTTATGGCATAGTGTAAAAAAGTTTTGGTTTCGAATATTAGTTAATTTACATAAAATCATGTTTTGTTTATAATAATTTGCAAAAAAATTCTCGAAAAGTTCTATTTTACTTGCATTTTGAGTTAAATCCCTCCGAGACTTCGTGTAATAGAATTCTGTTAACAGCCTTACAGAGCTCTGTAAAAAATTTTAGTTTGTGTCTTTGCTAGTTATATTTAAATATAACTTCACATCCTTTCGAACTTACTATTTCAAGTTCGAGTAAGAACCATCCCTGATCGGAGTGTTCGGTGTGTCAACTGATATACTTTCCTCAATTATATAATTTATAATTTGCTTATGGTACTCTACAGTACGGCCGATACTTAATACAATGTGTCGGACAAAAATGACGAATCTGTGCATTCAAATTTTTAAAAGTGTTGCCAAAATTATCCACTTTTCTCAAAAGCGATTTCGAAATAATTTTTGCATATCCCTGCAACACCTAGTCTATTACATTATTACTCACTTCATTTTAGCGAATATTTTCGCCAATACAAGGGTATCCCGCTTAGCACGATACTTGTTAACCACCGTTTCGATACAACAGTGTAAACATTTTTTGGATTTATATTATATTTAAATTTAAGTTATGCTATTCTATGTACGTATGATATTTTAGTTTAAATAAAAAAATTTGAATTTCGATACAATACGGTACGAATTGAGCGTGTTAAACGAGAGAGGCATGTGTTTGTGGCTTGAGCTTTGCGAGCATTAATACCAAGCGCTTATTTATTTAATAGGGAAAGTTTATGTCTTCAATCGGGATGAAATATTTCCCGTCGTGGTAAGAAAAAGCATTCTGCAAAACGATATACAAACGGAGGAAAATTGATTGTATATGCCGTGATTATCGTTTTTATCACTTAATCGAGTTGTTTAATAAGATAATATAATTTTTGTTCAATACAGTTGCGAATGTATATATATATGTAGACATATATAAATAAAATTTGTTTATCACACTCTTACCTCAACGCCAAAGCTAATATAACCAGTTATGGCAGTGCCGTGATTACTAAGAACTTCGTGGATTGACCTTAAGGTAGAACCCAAATATACGTTAATCATTTTAGCGGGAAGTAAGCCTAGAAACGTTGCAGTATGATACACTCGCAGATTTATAGAGCTAATCTGTAAAATATAAAGAACAAATAAATTGTTAAATAAAAACAAGAAAAAATAGTCGACTAGATTCGCCTGAGGCAGAAACTTATAGACAGAAGACACGCATCATAGTGATATGTGGATTCTAAATATTTACATGGCATCATCGGTTCGGAGAACGGCATCTATTAGAGTCGAAAGGAAATTAATCCGCGCTAAGATTTGAAACTGCGAACATCTACTTGCTAGGCGAGATTCTTACCAACCTGGTTACGGATGCCGATATTAAACTAATATCATTGGTAGACTAATTTTCAAATTGAGACTTTCTTGCCCTGTAAAGTTCAAATTTTCGTAAGAATATTCGTTTAACAGTGGATGGTTCAAAAAAAGATCCCATCTGACACAAATTTTTTACATCTACCTTTTGTCGATTTTTGTCGAGAAATATGAAAAAACTCTCTTTTCTAAGCGGGATGTTATCCAGGAGAGTTGATTGTAAAAATGCTTCGACCGAATCCATTCTCAATACACTTAAAATTACGTGGACAGGCAAAGGACTATTCAAAAATGATTCTAGTATAATAAACCCTTATCAAGGCGATCTTCTTGGAGAAGGAGAGGCGGGTTAATGCATACACACTGGCGGACATGTGTAGGGGAAAAAAAACAAACCATAGACATTTTTTAAAACATATGCAGGTTTTGCGCGCAGATCTTATTTTTATCCTACTAAAAACTTACACAACTGCATATTATTCATATGCTCGGTAATAAATTAATCGCCTTGAAAATTGCCTTTATACTGATTGCGCAGTTCTTTATCAATCCAAACAACTAATTATTTATCGGCGTTGAGAGCGTTTTTTTAGAATAAAGAATTCCCGAGACTTTTTGGACAAGGCGAACTTCATATCATTCGTAAATAAAGCAAAAGCCATAGACGATGGGTACAAAAATGATTTAAGTATTATTAATAATCAATAAGAGCAAATAATCAAACTTAAGTAAACATCAAATATTGTGAGGGTAACGTTAACGTCTTACGTACGTTTCTTTTGTCTTTGCCGTCTTTACGAAGACAAAACAGCGTATTAAATATGGCTAATAATACCTAAAAGTAAACCAGTGGCATTTTCAAGATGATAAATTATTTTGGTTTTACGTTGAACATATTTTTTTTTTTTCCGATGTCAGACAGAAATGAGAGCAGCGAGCAAAAATGAAAATAAAAATTTTATAACAGTCCAGACAGCGAACATATGGCATATGCTTTTAATTTTAATTTAAATACAAGTAAACACATTGTAGTCGGCCATGGCCGACCGTTAAATACCCCATTTTCGTCGCTTTACTTTAGGCAGTTATTTATAACGCCTTATAGAGGTTTTCGTATATGAATAAAGCATTGTATGGGAAGTGATCGAAACGTATTGACGTTTTTAATGGTGTTCGCCCGCCGGTGTACCACAGTTCATGAAAACATTTTAAAAATTATGGCGTGTGAGTTGAACAAAAGAAAAGAGGGCAGACAGACGGACAGACAAGCTTATATCGATTCAGAATGACTTTATAATAGAAGGTGGACCTATCTTAAGTTGTTCTGAAAACCACCTGAACATAAAAAAACAAAAGTTTGGAGTTCAAAGTCCGCTTAAGGCGAATTGTTTGATGCTTTAATTTTTTATATTTTTAATTTTTAATTCTGCTGTTAGTTGTTTTATAAATTTTATCTTTTCTTATCGTATAAGAACATTATAATAGTACTTTAAAGGCAATTTCGTATTCTTTTTTCTATGTCCATCATGTGAGGTTTCTGGGGTTTTAAATTGAACTCTATTAGTCACATTGGGCAGGCGGCTCCAGAAGTTGTACTTTAATATATATCTCCCGTTTGTCAGATGAAAACAGACTTTTTTTTTTGCTTAAAAAGGACAAATGGAATATTACAAGTGTACCCCACTTTGGAATAAAATTCTCATTCTCCGCGATTGTCCACAATTACGAAAAAACATAGCCTCACGTTGTTGTGTCTATCTGCCGCGTAATTACAAATATGACTTTATACTTTTTTTCCTTTTTTAAGAGGTCCATAAAGTGTAATACTGAATATTTTATAGTATTTCATCGCACTTTGTATAGAAGCCGCAATACATCATCTATTCTATATATCGTTGCTTCACTTCTGCATAGCTATGTAAATGATGCCAACCTTTTGCTTTGCGGATAAAAGCAATCATGTCATTGATAAAGAAAAAGCATGTGTTAGCTATTTATCATGGGAAAGTGGAGCTAAGTCAAAAATGCAATTCCTTACGAATTCTATATCGTTTTTAACCAATTCTTTGCCAGGGCGTAATCGCTTTCGTTTTATGTCAACTAGCTGAATATAGAAACGAAAGCTGACTCTATGATACCTCTTGATGGGACTCCCCTGAGTACGAAAAAAAGCACTATTGTTAGTTCATACAGTTATCCATCAAGTGCTACCAATTTCTATATAATTATGATTTCAAATATCGTACATAAAAAGTGGAGCATTTCGTTACATTCCTGACTCTCACACTCAACCTGTTACGTAATTTTATGAGAATTTAAATATTGTCTGATGTACGAAAAGGTCAGTAAAAAAGTTCTATGCATTGAGGTCTATATGATGCTCCCGATTGCATCAACTTTCTTTCTTTCTTTTATGCTTCAAGGAAGCACACATTCACATCTAATAAGTGGAAAGGTGACGAAAGTTGTCACAAGATTTCTTTGCAAGCTGAAAACAAACAGCGATAGCATTCAGACACATAAATAAATTCCAAATTCATGTATGGACCGCCAGATGAAGTCTTTCAAACACAATGGCACAGGTTATACGAACTGTGGAGCAATTTAACATTGATCCGCAAAGTGAAGTGAACTTTTATTATACGATAAAAACGACACTTTTCGTGTCAGTCTATCTGTCGAGATGCGGGTACAAGGGTATACAACCAGAAGGACTTGAGTCACGCCTTTTTTATTATTATTATTATTATTATTATTAATTTCGCCAGAGAAATAAATTCTAAGACTAAACTCTTAAAAGCGCTAGCATCTAAGGCTTTTATTAAAAACTCGACCGCACTTGAGATTCGAACCCACGACCATTGACTTGCTAGTCGAGATTCCTCGCCTTCGGCTACTCAGCATGCCTTTTTTATTTCCACATTTTATTACAGCGATCGATTCAGAGTCCCTCTCTAATTTGATTCAAACGTGTTAGTTCGTTTGTTCGCTTTTTTATATTCAACTTATAATATTTAGTACACTAATGTGTCTTGATCCAAATGCGGACGTTATTGAAAATGTTTCGGATCGGACCACTTTACGATTACTTTCCATATAACGGCTTATTTTGAAAGATCCTTATAAGAATAACTATAGAGTGCTATAGGATATTTTATAGTCTACCACAGCCCACTGTAGTCTTTTTATTTGGTTATATACAAGAAAATGGAGCTGCACTGAAAACTATTTGCAAATAAATACGTTACGTTATATTTGTGAGGATAAAAAAACTTACTCCGAACATAGCGTTTTGTATACCAAACGGTATCGATGTTAGCCTGGTAAATAATACCACTCGAAATGCCCTAGGTCCAGATATAACACGCAGGATCGCCCGGCCAGACTCATTTTTAATTAATCTGTAAAAGGTAAAGGAAAGCAAAAAAATTAATTTTTTGATTATAGATTTAGTTTAATATCAGAAGATTAATATTAAAATACGCTGCTATTCCCTAGACCACTGGTGCTAGAGGGTATATATAAGTTTGTGCAAGTGCAGCGAATTGAGATAGACCCATCTTTTACTATATCGTTTGTTTGTCTACCTAAGCTTGTCTCTCCATCTATTTGTCTGGTTCAACCTGCAGTTCGCACTTTTGATGACATTTCTTAGGCCGATATATTCTTGAAAAAGGAGGACGAAAGCTTATTAAAAAGTTTCGACATCAATTGGACAGAGTACAAGAAGAATGCCGTAAACGAAAATGAATTTCGAAATTTTCCAAAGTGTTTTTGCAGAGATATTGCTTTCTAAAAGGCTACGCCCACAATTGATATTTAATCAAGATTTCATTTCATATAAATTAAAAATTCTGCTCGGATCTTGTATAAGGAAAAGATCAACTAAGGAGAAATTACTCAATTTTTAAACATTTTCTGCTCAGATCCCAGAGTACGAATTTCAGTTTGTCTAATGGGAAAAACTGACAAAATTCACAAAATGGACGGACACGTGTAAATTGATTGATAAATAAAATATCCAGATGCAACGAAAAGAATGAAAGCATTAATATACCCGCTAAACATATTCTCCAATGGAGGATATAAAAATTAAATTTCAAATATTATTGGAATGCAAAAGAAGAAGAGACAAAAATAAATGAAATAAATAACGAGATACCATCATCCAGTATCTATGCGAAGACAGCGAAATCTAACTATTGACGTAAGCAATTGAAGAACGCGCGTACGAAGAACTAAGACTGGAAATGTATTTGTGACGATAAATTAAACAAAAACAAAAAAAATTCAACTATTCGAAAGATATACTTCAAGTTCAAAATTCTAATTTATAATTCTTCTCAAGGCCAAAGAATTCTCAAGGAATCCTTAAAAATAAGATTTTATTAAGAAAATATTTCTTAACGTAGATCTCATTGAGGCAAACGAGAAACTAGTTTATTATTAACAAGGTAAACTTGATTTAATTGACACAACTGTGTTAAATTGCTTTCTGTAACCGTGCAGCAATAGCAAATTAAAAAAGTGTTTTGAGAAATAACGCCTTGTTAAATGCGTTGTGTAAATAATTAAAGTCATACGAGGTGTGTTCAAAAACCACCGACTTCAGATTTCTTGGGCTACGTACATTCGTTTTTCAAATTTATTTACTTTTTTTTTTGTTGTTTTGGTACACATGCCCCTAACACATCTTGACATTATCCGTCCCTTTGTTAAAGTCCGCATCGCTAGAAGAGCTCTCAACGCCGTACCAAAAAGCGCCTATCAGAAATGCTTCGAGAATTGAAAACAGCCCTGACACAAGTGTATTGCATTTGGTGATAAAATAAATATTTTCAGAGAAAAATAAAAAGTCAACTTTTTCTAAGCACACCTCGTAGATTATATTAAGAAATCAAGATGTTCATAGAATTGTTTATTATGTAATTTAGCTAATTATGATCGGCAATGACGGAGGAATTCATTTAATGCTGACACATTTACAAGTTTCGAAATGAAAAACCATACATTTTAAGTCTCCTCCTCCTCCTCTCCTTTCTCCTATCACCAACACCAAAAATAGGCTCATTAGGATTAATATCACACGTTTGTAAGATGAAAACACTGACGGACAATGCAAAAGCTTTCGCCATTCTCCTCATTCGACTTTGTAACTAGCATAGTAAATTCACTAAAATCAGTTGATGAAATATCTTGATAATCACGTAGAACGCGCTACCTGCATCGGAGTGATTCGATTTTGTTCGGATCCGAGAAGAGATAATGAAAATCATTGCGATATATGATCAGTACTGGAGTTGAACAACAACAAAAACGTTGCTATTACTAAATCAACGCTGCGCGTGTCTCGAAACTTATATCAGCTGTTCACTGAAAAAAAATTCTGCCTCAAAATTACGTTTCGAAGATTGCTATAGCATTTGCTAATCATTGTGCTTTGATGTCGACCATAAGCGGAAAAAGCAATACCACTTTACTGTATTGCCCTTAGCCAAAATGGCGCAATCAAAAGCGTGGATCGAAAACAATTCGCGAAGTTTCGTTTCGGACATTTCGATTCCACTTGCCAAGCACTATCGATAGAGATTACATCAAGGCGTTAATCAAGCCCAAACGAAATGGAATATCACACTAACTTTAGTCAATCTATTACTATGAGATGTTTAGAGTATCTAGGAATGGAAGACAAACTCAAGTTCAAACTTACGATCTAACTATGTGTTAGAGAGGCGATGATAGCGAGAGTGAAAAGTGATGTTTGTAAACAAACAGATACACAATGGCAAGTGGTTTCCTACTTTCAAATGGATTACGATTACTACTATATAACAGATGATGACTCTTGGAACCGCGTAAAACTTTTGATGCGTTAAAAGACAACAACCGAGAAGACAAGTGCATACAGATTTCAGTAGCTGCGTTGAATGCTTTACAAATGTTTGAAGATTCGGAAACAAAAAACTTCAAAAAATACCTTTACCGGTAAACTTTGAAATGATCATTATTCCCTGTTCACGGGTTCAAATCTCAGTGTTGTAGGGTTATCGATTGAGCACACATCCACTAGGTTGCGGCCATCGCCTCCCTATTTCTTTCGTTCTTGTTCTTTCCTAGCTTTCTTCTGACCATTAACGCCATCGCGCGAATAAGGGACATCGCCTGAGTGATTAGTCACATAAAAAAATAAAAATAAAAAAATTGGAAACTTGTATATATAAACATTCTGGGACACACTAACAAGCACAATTGTTTTGCTTACATTTATACTTGATTATCGTGATTTGTTCTGGAAGGAATATCGTTTTCATATTCGATATTCTTTCTTTCGCTAGCCTTGCTAAAGCTATTGTCGAATTTTCGATTTTGCAATTTGTTAACGAATCAAGTGAACGCAAACTCTGTTATAGTTTTAATAATTAAGGAGGAGTTTCTAAGAAAATTGCGTTTAGCTTAGACGATGTCTTTTATGAATTCTGAATGTACCAAATGCACAAGCCTTTAAATCTGCCCATCGAATATTTAAAATATATAATTGTGAAGCCACTATAGCACGTAAGGTATATGGATGAGTGATATTTACGAATTTTGAATTTGGCCGGCTATTGTAGACTGGCTTATCATGGTCATCTTTAAGCTTGACCTAGAGACAGGGAAAATTTCAACACCAAGCGCCGGCTGAATGGGCGGCTGAAACGGGGCAAAATGTTAAATTTTATAGCGTCTCCAACTAGTATTTCATACTTTTAATGAGTTTGGACTTACATCCGGTCTAAAAATCTACTTGCAATGATAATATGCTATGAAAGCGTCCACACATTATTGATGGGTCAATGACAATAGCACTTATATATACATATATATCACTATAGCTACGGCCATAAACCAATCGAAATTGAGGTATGGTCTACCGCCACAGGCAATTGTACCCAGCTATGCCGACTTGATGTTCAAGTTTCTGCTTGAAGGCCATGGGAAAAATTTATCATCATCTACTCGTGAATATCGATTAAAATCTTGATTTAATCAATGCCCTGGTTTTCAGAACTGTTTATGCTAAAAGCGAGTTACTCTATACCGCTTGAATTCTTTCATTAACAGAGAGAGGTCGAGTTTAGAGAAAGTTACAAAAACATTCGCCTCTCTGTGCATATTTACTTACCTCTGTATTGGTATACGAAGTCGCAGGCTTCTTAATATTAGGTGACTATTCCCATGTCTGCATCCAATATCACAGTTAGGAAGCCCTTAATGCAACCGAATAAGTAACCGGTCGTGATCATTAATACAAAATAACCGCAGGATAACATATCGACAGACGAGACTTACTAGAGGAACGAGCCAAACGACGATTCTTCGCACATTTGACAATTGTCACTTATTTGGTATTGGAATCCATCAGGAACGCATCACATTCGCTGAACGTCCCATTCAAACATTGACTATTCAACGTTAATATATTCCTACATGCACCTGGTGTTGATCAACTTGTTTTTGGCATTAAAACAATTCCACTATATTCGGTGACACTCTTTGTAGTAAGACTGGTATTAACACGACTATTAATACTGCCCTGGTTAAAAATAGTGGATTTGGGCTTAATGATGGCACCGCTGTAACTATTGCTCTTATGCATTAATATACCCACACCGGAGCGACCATTATGATGATCTGTACGTAACGCTTTCTCCAGCAGTAATGCCTCCTCAGAGGTGGTTTTAGACTGCGATAGTAGAGCATAATCGCTATTTATATTTTGTGGAAGATAATAATAAGTGGCAGAAGTAACAATATTGCTGTTGTTGTTGTTGTCATTGTGGTTACTGTTATTATTGGTACTATGGTAGAGCAAAGATTTTTGTATAGTATCCAAAGATGGGATACATGAGACACGATTAAAAGTGTACGAAGCAGTCGGAGCGCTCATCATATAAAACGATCAATATGTTAGCGTTAAAGCGCAATTTCGAAATTTATTGAAAGCGAGAAGTAAAGAAATTTTTACTTCAAAACGTTTATTATTACAGCCGATAGATGGAAGTTATATTTAACCATTTTCACTTTTTTTCTTTTATTACATTTATATCGAAATCCTCGAGAGCATTGACTTTTAAATAGAATCCGAAAAAAACCTATAAAATATAGACACACGGAAGGTATTGCGATTTTTTAAAAATTAATCCAAAAAAAAGAAAACAATAATCATGGAGCACTTGTTCATTTGACGCGCAAACAGCGTGTCGTTCAGAAACATATTCTCTATCCCTAAAGAAGTATAATCGTTCCTGGACATAAACCAAAAAAAAAAATTAAAAAGATCTTTTTGATTAGTTTGGGAAAGTACTTAAAAGCATGCTCTGCATAACGACTAGAAATTTCTATATATATTTAAAAATATGTTGTTTGTGTAAAAAACCCATTTTGTAGATAACCACTGCATAAATTAAATCCAGTCTTTGCTAAATATTTTCCTTTCAAAATGTGTGTCTTTAAAACGCAAGTTGCGCTTATGATCTTTCTACGTATTTCTCGTATCCATATGCGCATGAGAAAAAAGGAAGTAACTGTTATGCGATTTTGTAAATGGTAGAAATAATTGCTAATGTTGAAGTAAATGAGAGACATTTCTCTTGTCTTATATTTTAGGTATATAGGTGTTTTTTATACAGATATATAACACTGACCCGTCTATAGAAAACTCAATTTTTGGCATGAAATGACAATAAAGGGGAGAGTAAAGTACCGTTGCATCTATTCTATATTTTTTTCATTTAAAATTTTTTTTCACTAAAATATTCTCTAAGCCCGCTTTTCTTTTTCTTTTTTTTTTGGTAACGAATAAAATTATAGATATTATATTAGGAAATAAAACAATCACACAACAAAATTTAAATATTTTCGTTTGCTTTTCATAATAAGGGTTTTCATTTCATGTTCAAAATCAAGTAGAACTTTCACTTTTAACAACAATCTTATTAAAATTTCGATTTCTTTTCTTTCATAATTCTTATTATTCTTCATTGGCATGCACAAATATATTAATATACACCGTTTGACCTTTTTGACTTTCCTTTCACTCTCTTGGAATTCTATTACCGACGATATATTTTCTTTATTTTTTTCTTCGTTGTTGTGATTTTAAATAATTTGATTTCATATATCAACGCGGTCAAAATTCAGCGTTTTTCTTTTTTTGTAACATAAATTAATAATTTGTAATTTATTGATTTTATTTATTTATTTTGCAAATAAATTTCAAATCTTTTCTCCCCAAGTTGCTTAATAAATTTAACTCACCACTCACCCAACTACAGTAACCAAACATAAATTCTTACAAAACACAAAAGAATGATTTGGCTGGGTATGTAACAAAAACAGTCGTTTTCTGTTATCAGAAAACCAGCTGACGGCCATATGTATGCATATATATACATACTCGCCAACGCAGGTGACAATAGTAACAGTGGTGCCTATAGTTGTGATTTCAACGCTATTTTAAATTTTAAATTAATTTTTTGTTATTTTTCAGAAAACGTCTACAGTTTGCATTCGCTTGTGCTAGATTAAATGCAAACTGGCGACTTCTGAAATAACAAAGATATTCAAAACCGCTCGCAAGCATTCTCGTATACGGCACACTTGTATAAATCGAAAAATCACATAATTCTCCTTGAAATGGATTGCAACGTAGCTTTTACATCAAACTATTTTTGCTTTTTTAAACATTTTTGAGCATTGTCCCGGTTTTAGGTGAAGGCCAGCAAAAAATCGCGTTTTTAACACATAATAAAACGCCTTAAATTCTATTCTCAGTCCAACCACTCTCGAAAGTACTCGTACTCGACATATTAGTGTGAGATTTGACAGCATTGGAACTTATATGCTGCCATACTAACACATTTTTGTTATTCTTTGCAACACGTACATCGCTTTATGCTGACTTTTTCCATGTTCATTATATCTCCGACAGAAGTAAACCACATTAAACTCTTCGTACGCTTACCATACTTTGAGATGCTTGAAATCAACGAAGATGAGAGAAACGATAATGAAATCGCGCTTAATTGTCAGGCCTGCGAATTAAAATTGAATATATTTAAAGAGGTGAACGCGAACAGCTTTTATACATTGAGGCTGCGTTTCTATTCCCATGTCTGATAGAGAAATTTAATATATTAATATTGATATAATTGTATGCATGCAACATACCCTAACGGTTCAAAAGGAAATTTTAGACTAGCACGCCGAAAATGAGAAGGGGAGCAACAACGAAAATTTGTTCTCTAGAACTTTTATAAAATTTTTGAGAGTAATGTGAAAGTTGTAAGTGCATGTGTTGACTCACCTCATCAGTCAGGGTCAAATCAATGCAACCTTATTTTATAAACATTATAATTATTTAATTAACTAAGAAAAATTATTGAAATAAAAGTCACCCATAAACTTTCCAGACCATCGATGGAAGTACATTCGCGACTTATGTCAGATTAACAGAAATTTAAAACAACATTTTTAAGGAACAAAAGAATAGAATAAAATATTAAACAATTATAATGTTCCGCTTATCTGTTACCTCCATAGGATAGGATTTCAGTCATGAATTGAATTTATGTTGATAGTCCCATTTTTGATAAAAAAATATGTACATGAGGGCACATCGCTGAGAGATATAACTTTCTGGAAGAAGGAAACATTTGTTTCTTAAGCCTAATCAGCTTCAGCTTCATTGAGGATCTGTTGAGGAGTTGAGGGTGCCAGTTTGGTGCCACGTTTTAATCTTCTATTCCCCAAAATCTCCATTCCATTCTCTATATATATGTCGGAAGATTACAAGGTATTGTACGCGCAAATTCGATCGTAGATCGGAATAACGCTTCGTGCATAGCCAGAACGTTTTTAGGTGGCATTCCTAACTGATCGTTAGTCAATAGTTTGATGATGTTACATCCAAATTGAAGGCTTACTCATAAAGCTTTTGAAGAGTTAGGTTATCATTTAATTTAATGTTTTGCTCAGAAATCGAAGACACTTGACTTTAGGTGCCTTGATATAGATGCTAATTTCACGTTTCGATTATGAATGAATTAAGATCGGCACATGCGGCAATGAGTTAGCAGACATTATTAAAAAATGGTTAGCGTATTGAAAGACATGAGCTTTGTTGCATGCAAAGCCACGCATTTCAATTGCACACAGATTGAAGAGGATGGGACTCAAACAACTGCTTTGTGAAATACCACCATATACTTCTAGACTGTCTGCACCTGTTACCATCACACCTTTAGATAAAAAATTTAAGGTCCAAAGACGCAATTTGAAGTGGGATCAAAAAGTGGGATTAAAGGAATTCTAACGCGCTTTATCAAGTTGACACAATCGTAAGCCTCGCTGACATCTAGGGAAAGCATGAGAACCTTTTCATCAATTTTTTTCAGACTCTCTATGAAAAAAAAGGACATTTCGTAGACACACATGCTTCTAGATTTGCGTTTTTGCAGAGCATAAGAATGAATTGGAATTATATTCTCGGTATTCAAGAAATCTATCAGCCTCTTCTTACCCAGGAGATTAATTATCTTTATGAATATATAATTAGTTAAAGATGCTTAAACATTTGTTTAAAACTTTCAAGTTTTTATCTAATTTAGGAATGGAGACATCGCAATTCAAGGAGTATGATATTGTTAGACCAACAATTGTTAATTGAATGCGGCAAGACCAAACTTATACCAGGGAATGCCCTGACGATGTCTTACTTTATTTCGTCATAGCACGCGGTAGTAGGCATCTACTTGAATGTCATTCTTTTGACATCAACACTAGAAATCACACATCATTTGACTTTCGGTGAACGGCAGCTGGATAATTTTTTTTCGTGTTTTATTGGTGTTAGTGGAAAAAAATAAAAAATAATGAGAATTTAAGGAAGGAATTGAAAAAAAAGTTTTAAAAAAGAAACGAAATTTTTGGAAATTTAAAAAAATAGAAAATATATTTATTAATTTTTTTTTTCGTTTTTCGTCCGGATAGGTAAGTGTTCCTCGGGATAACAGCGACAACAACATTAGTCTGTCTCCCTACAGAGATTGGGTCTGGATTAAGTGTCACGGATAGAAACGATTTCGGGTATTTCTTCACGAATGAGCATAACAAGAGATCGTGGATAGGTGGGGATGATGTTGATTCATCTCTCAAAGGAGGAGCTGTAGCTAAAGATTTAACCGTGCTTAGAAAATAGGTAGTTGATAAGCCCTCCGATTTGGGTGCCAAAGCCATTCTAAATAACGATACCAATTTGTATGACTACCTTTCGGGAGGCAGTTCCGTACTTTTTATTGAAACTTGTGAAAATGCTGAGAAAAAGCGTGTGAACATCAACTCAGACTTTTTTTTATGATTATTTAAAAACTTTCAACCTTGACGGCTTACTAGAATTAAAAGAGTTAGCAGGGGCGGAGCTATATTGTTTTTCAGCTCTGCTCGTAATGCTAAAAGCTTCATCAACGACAATGATTTCAAAAAAAAATATTATATTCTGAGACTCTTCACAGAAAGGTTTGGAGTAATCCGGGATGTCCCCATCGAATATCGTGAAATCGAGATATTCGAAAAAGCGATCTCCCACTTTCCTATCAAGTTTGCTGTTTCTTGGACACCTACCAAGAATAAATCCAAATAACAAAAACGAGGTCATTGCAACCGCTAGGATCAAAATAGGTTTTAAGAGGAAAGCCCTCCCCAAGCCAATTAAATTTAATTTTTTAATTTGTCCATGGAGTACTTTGTACCCATCTTAAAGGAATGCTTTAAGTGTGGCAGATATGGGAATGTGTCCAAGTTCTGGAAAGCGAAGGAGGAAAGGTGTTTAAACTGCGGGAAGTCTCTCAAGTGTGAAAAATGTGAAACAATGAGATGCTTGCTCTGTGGTTCAGGTGAGCACAATACTCTAATTAA